TCATCTTAATACATCCTGTAGCAACTCAACTTTTCCTTCCAGCAGTCATATTTAACCGTAGATCCTTTTCCTACCTATTACAAAGTATCTTTTCGGTTGTTAGAACAGACATCTTGACACTTCATTAACCGTACCCCACAATTATAGAAAAAAATAAAGGCGGTAGCATTAATTTTAAGCTACCGAAATAGATCACTTCCAGGAATCACGCATTGACATTTATAAAATATTTTTTTAATAAAATTCTTAATTACAGGTTTATTTTTTGAATAAGTGATGTTGTACAAAAATAAATGAAACCAGTTGTGATTTTCTTTCATCCATAGATCCGGACCACCATCACATTGAATCAATATCAGTGGGAAATTACGAAATATTAAGAAAATCCGTGAAACCGCTATAAACAGTTTTAACGAGAATTCGCTTCCTCTCCTTATTTCTAGGGTCTCTCTATATAAAGAGTCCTTACCGCAACATATCGCCGATAATCACGGGTCAAGTGTTTGTTTTCCATGTTTATATAGATGAGAATTCTTGGTAATTCAAACGGTCGGTAAAAAATTGCGGTTGCCCGCCATTTAATCAAACAATAAAAACACTAAACGATTCTTGGTGCACCGACCGCAAGTAATTCAAACTCCTGACATTTATAATAGGTTTAACCAATCGTCCAGCCACTTTACTTCTTATTGTTTTCTTATAAAAGTTACTATAAGTTTTCATTTACTTTAAGATTCCTCCATTTTTATTCTGAAAATTTTACAGCACAAAGAAAAGTTGTTCGTGCACATTACCATAATTATTTGGTTCAAAAACAGTATTACTTACATGGACTTTGAAATCGTTAAGTGCATATTTCTTGAATATAATTACTGAACACATGCAAACCTGGATACAGCAGCTAAGCCACGAATTCTCTTCAAGTTCTCACACACATTTAAACCGTTCTCATCTCTTTAAACGACATTTCTTCATCGAACCGTGTAGTTGTACAATAAATAAATGTGAAACAATCTCAATAAATAAATATGCTAAGTTAAAAAAGATATAATTCCAATAATATTTAGTCATTAACGTTACTTATTTCTTCACAGCTTCTCGCGTTTTCTTCGGGTGCTCTTATAACTCATTAATCAGCTACTGCCAATTAAAACCAGTAAAACAAACTCTAGAATCAGTATAAAATATCCTGCTGTTTCTGTGTGTCTACACTGGATAATTAATAATATGCTAAACGGTTAAAATACCTTTATGCCTTTGCGCACCAACGGCTAAAATAATTAATGATTAGCGGCCCAGTTACTTATCGATGTACAAATTGCGTACGTGGACACTCCAGTTTAACATAGAATGTTAATAAATTCTTTAATTTATATCGACTTTGTGTCGGTAATTAAAGATCGTTGTGGTATTTAATGATACACATAAATGATACCCGTTTAAAAAGGCGTTGCATGTAATTGCATATTTGCACGCCTAAATATCTTCGGTATTAAAAAATAATGACTGGTTATTTTGTGGTTAATTTGTGGCTATAAATTAATTAAAATGAGATTATTAAAGAGATTATTATTGATTAATTTGTAATGCAATGATGAACTTTACAAATTTTTTTTTGTCATTAAAAAAGGTGGGCAAAAAGTTTGCCACATTTATTCAATTACTTATTTTAATTAAACGGTAACGTAAATTAAAAATGGCAATTATCCAATCTCTATAATATTGAGTTAATATTTCTCGTAGTAAGATGGTGTTGCAATCACAAATTTTAATGTTGCGTAATATTGCTCAGTTTAATTATTTCATTCGATAAAAATTCGGGGGATATTCTTTCAGAAACACGTTCGGATATCAATATTATTTCTTTAACGTGCATTTTATGAGATAAAATTGAAATATACAGATGTCCCAAAATTGAGATACGACCCCTAAGTAGAAATTTTCGAATGAGAATCTCCATTTTTGTGAAGTTACTCTAACGCGCATTTAGTGCAAATAGAGTTCAAAATACCAATTATCTGAAATGGATTTAGCCTTCAGGAATTAACATTTGTTACAATGAAAAAGTCGAAGTAACTATTGCCACCGACCAACAACCATGGCAGTGGTTGTTTACATTGAAAATACCGCCTGGAAGACTTTTCAGATGGGAACTTAGGATACAAGGATTGAACATGAAAATTACTTACATACCAGGAAAGCGGAATATTGTAGCTGATTTTTTATCAAGATCATCCATATCTACTCCGAAAGTCATCAATAAATCCTTCATTACTTATGAAGTTTAAACCCTTGAAACTCCGGAAGAATCTCTAGAATGTTTTCATGTATATGACCTTATGTTTCAGTGTCAAGTGCAAAAAAAATTCTGCGAGCTTTATGAGCGAGAAAATCAAATAAAATAAAATCAAGATGCATTATTTGAATCATGCATTACTTAGAATGTTATATTTGTCAAAAAATGAATGTCAAAAAAAATTCTGCGAGCTTTATGAGCGAGAAAATCAAGTAAAATAAAATCAAGATGCATTATTTGAATCATGCATTACATAGAATGTTATATTTGTTTCATTTCTTTTGTATTTATTTGATTTTTTAACATTTTGCAATATTTTTATTCATCCTCGTTTCTATATGCATTTTCAAGAATGGATATTTTTCGCGTTTATGGTGCTTTCAAGCATGTAAATTCTATACCTGGTGATGAGTTCTTGAATGATAAAGATCTTGTTTCTGACGTCGACCCAAAATATTTATTCCTGAATATGAACCTTACAAAATTCAGGAATATTAACTTAAATTATGCCGAGCACGCTTACAGCCGCGGCTCAGTGATTAATATTATATCAACCTGAAACTGGTTATCATGTTGTAGTGCCTTGGCTTTTTTCAAATTAAGTTGTAGGTGTACTATTTAAACTGTCGTCGCTTACGACTTCGGTTGGGTTGGGTTGGTTTTATCATATGAAATAAAGACCTGATTTTGTTACAACGATTTTATTTTCAATCTTGGGGTATTGCTTCAGTATTCCAAGCTTGTGGAAATGCTTTTTTCAGTTACCATTCTCTCTTATCATTATCTTCACCTGTTTCTTCACAATTCCTCTTTTGGCTTTATATTTTCTTTCTCTCTAGTCTCTATCCGTTCTTCAATATCCTCTTCTTACTCCTCTTATTCTCGAAATACTGCTACATAATAGTCCTTCCTTGTCTTCAGTTTGCTTTTGCTGGTTGTTTGTAACTCTCCATTTTGAACCTCATATTTTATGGTTTCTTTGTATTGCTCCTTTCTGGCTTCTTGACTACGTTCCAGAACTGTTTCTTGTTCTTTTTACTCAACTTCCTTCCAAATTCGTCCTAAGTTTTAAATTTTACTCTTTTCAAGGCTTTCCTTGATTCCTGCCTTCTTCATCAGTGATTTCTGATTCTTATTCTTCTGAATCTGTTTCAATCTTCTATAATTATTTTTGTTTAGCATATTTTGGTTGCTGCCCATATTATAATAAAACTTATTCCATCTATCACTGAATGGTCTTCTGTCTTTATGTCTTGCTTTTCTAGTTTTCTTTCCTCTCTTCTCTTCTGTTTCTCAAGTTCTTCTGTTTTTTGTCTTTTATATATTATTGAAACTGTATCACGTTACTTCTGTATGACCTTTACATTTTGTTACTGAATCAATTAGAAAAACAGTGATGATGCTGGAAATATGCTTCTTTATTCAGCTATATCCAACGATCGGTTCAACTGTCTAATGTAAAACAGTCACTTCAATTACATTACCTAATATATACAAAAGGAGGCAGCTTTAAGTGCCTTATCACTGAAAACATGCTCTTCACTCAAGTTGATGCAGGGTAACCTTAGAGGACACCTCTAAATCCTCAAGGACCCATGTCTAAACCACTTGCTTGAAATTACAACGTACCTTATTGCGACAGAATATAATTTCGACAAGCCGTATAAGGTCATATTTAGAAGCAAGGATGATTGGGTGAAAGGTCAACCTCAACTTAAAAGAGGAGCCCTTGCCTGGTACACCGATGCTTCAAAGACAGTTGTATCCGGAGTAGGTATAGACATTATTGGACCAAATAGCCGCATTAAATTTCCCCTCAGCTCGAACATAACCATTGTTCATGCAGAAGTTCTTGCTATAAACTTCTGCACCGTTTTGAACCTAGAAAAGGGACAGAAAGGTGTATCGAGAAACATTTTCACGAACAGTCGGGTCGCCTTAAAGGGAATTCAGGCCTTCACGTGTGACTCCGCACTGACCTGAGAGTGTACCAGTAACCTGAGAGAACTCGCTAGGGGTTTATGATGTTACTCTATGGTAGGTTCTAGGTCACAAAGTCATTGAAGGATGAAAGGGCTGACAAGCCGGCCAAAGAGGTAGCGAGAACGCCCTACATTGAGCCCCAACCTGGCTGTGGACTACAAAAAGCCATTTAAAATAGATAATTAATAGTTGGGAGACCTCAAAAGTAGCCTTACGATAGAAAGAACTGCCAGGTCACAGACAGACAAAGAGTATGACAACTCCGTCGCAAAACCAAAGAGGTTTTATTTCTCAGCAAAGGGGATCTAAGGTCGCTTTCAGCTTTCCTGACCGGCCATGCGCCCCTAAAATACTACCTCTTGCATATTGGACAAGCTGAGCATCAAACTTGTAGACTTTGCAACGATGAGTTGTCGTTTGATGTATCGATGGCGCTTTTCTACGGATGTCGTGGGTCAAGACAACTTATTCAAGAAAAATCAAATTGATGGGAGGTACACAATATGGATAGGAACATAGTTAGATTGACATAGTTAGACATAGTTACATTGCAAGATAGTTTTGGAGCAACTGTATTTTTATAAAGAAATTTTTATTAATAATTATATCATGATATAATCTCTAATAACAACTAAACATTACATTACAAATTAATTAAACAAGCAACAACATAAACTACTTTATATAACTAAAAAAACAAATGAAAATCTTTTCTTTGTCTTTATAATTTTCCATGCGCCCTTTGATATTCCAAAGATCTTACGATATATTCCGGAATTTTCGGAATTCCATCACCTTGAGGTTGAAATCCATTTTCATCGGCAACGTAAGTTATCTGTACCGGAACTCCTTCCGGAGAAGTATAGCTGAAAGATCCTTCGGCTTTTAAAGCTTCTTTCGAATCGGGATTATTTGATGGGTACAAACTTCCTTGCTCGGCAGCTTTAATACCATTTTCCGTTTCGTAGGACCAATTGTAACTTCCATACGGATCGATTTCCTGCCTTTGTCTTAAAATCCTGTAGTTCGGGGATTGTCCCAAAGTTAAACCAATAAGCGTTAAAGTAACGAAAAGTTTAAACATTTTTGTAGATTTTTTAATGTTAAGTTTTGGTTTAGGTTAAAAAACGTTCTTGTCTGCATTTTTGGTCGTCCCCAGTATTTATACTAAGTTTTGGGCAGATGAAAGTTTTCCGGGTTGTGCAATATGATCATAAATAAGGTTACGAATACGGATGTCGATTACAAGGTTACGATTTTTTTCTAAGAAGAAGAAGAAGCAACGGGATGCCTGTTATCTTAATTTATGATAATTTTTTGACATTCCGTATTAAATCAACATAATGTTATGTTGCGCTAAGTGAAAGTGCCTAATAAACGATTTTTTAAAATGTTTAAGTGAGCTGAAATAATTTTTGAATAACCCTATATATTCAGATTAAATAATCTTTTTAAATGACATATTACTAGATGTTGTAAATTAGGAAACACCCATTTTCTAATCATTTCGCTTAAGGAGATTAATCGTATTTTCACTTTCTTTTTTCAAAAAGCCCAAGTTAATAAAAAATAACGGTATTTAAATTATATTCAGACATCGCGTCGCTTGTAAAACGAGGCGTGGAATATTACGTTTTAAACTGCTATTACGCAACAATGTCTTTTATAATCGAAATTTGAAAAGTAATAATTAAAGTCATAAACCGTTTAATATCAAAGAAAAAATTTTAATCTTGCTATAATATATTCTATGCCATTGCAATTGTATAAAATTAGACGTTATAAATTTAAACTCCATTAAAATTATACTCGATATTAAATTTTTCCACGGCTCCTATTTCTATAGAACTTAAAACATTTAAACGTCATTTTATTATAAAAAAAAGGCATCTCTTCCGGGTTTCGAATGAACCAGATAAAATCAAGAATAAAAAAACCGAGTCTCAATTTAAACAACATTTTCGAAGACGACTCATGAATTAAATATCGACTTTTTTTATATCGACGATTTCACTATAATAAGGCTCTTCTTTCTTCTTAAATTGAAGATCGCACGTCGCGGATGTCACGGATGTCGTCCTTTTGGACACCGAACGATATTTTACTGCGGGAACATCTCGGGAAAAGAGCGCGAGGACCGTTCTTGCCGCCTTGGTTGTTGCTGTTGTTGTTGTTGATGGTTGCCCAAGTGGGCTGGCTGCTGGGCCGGCCGCCGAATGCCTACGTGCTTGTAATCCTTAATCTTGGTGTAATTAGCGGGTAACTTTTACAATTCAGTAACTGTATACCCGCCCGTACGTGTTAACCATTAATCACGGCCATAAATTGTTACGAAACGGCTCGAGGAAAGTGTGAGTTTAATTGGATTTTCCGAAATTCACGAGCACGAAACAAGAATTCCAACCGACGAAAGATTCCTCCAAGCACAACAGAACTTTGCTGTGTGCCCCACCTTTCTGTCTATTACAAAAATTAATTGTTTTGTTTCTTCTTTAATTAAATTTTTTTGTCGTTCTCCTTTCTTTTATGATACTTTAACTGTTCTTATTTAACACTTTTCGTTAAATACACTTTTCATCATAAAATACGTGATATTACAGGTTTATGTGATATAACAAGTAATTATTAAATTTAATAAATCTAATTCATTTCATTAAGAAACCTTCTTTTATTGAAAAATAATCGATTTTTAACGTATATTCAACTCAGTTTGATATTGCTTGTCAACAAAATATAACAAATTTGGAATGATATTTATTTGAAACGAAATGAAATATAGATTTTTAGCTTGAATAGGATGCACAACATATCGTTATAACTATTCTTAGTGATAAGAAATCAAAAATTTGAGTTAATCGCTTTTATATATTCAAAACTATCTACCAGATCCATCTCCGCAAACTCTTCAAGTTTTTATTGTTTACTTCTGGTAATAGCTCCCCAATATGACAACAAAGCAGGAAAAAAGTTTTTGTGTCTTAGAATATGCTAGTTGTTCGTGTGTTGTAACAGTACAACGCGCTTTCAAAAGAGAGTATGAAAACGATCCACCTTGTAAACAGTGCATTTTGCGATGGTATCAGTAATTTAAGACCACTGGTTGTTTATGTAAAGGCAAAAACACTGGTCAACCAAAAGTGTCGGACGAAACAGTGGAGACCACGTGGTCTGTTCTGGAAGATTTTGCTTCTTACATATGAAACCGTACCGGATGTATGTAGCTCTTGCAACACTTAACGGCGCAGGATCATGTTTGTCGCCTAGAATTTTGCTGCTAAATGCAGGAAACGTTGAAAAATGAAAATTTCGGTGCTAACTTAAAATGGGAAAGTAAACCGTCACAATATGCGATTCTGGAGCACTAAAAAAACAACGTAAATTTTCACAGTTGCAAGAAATTCGACGAAGGTTAATGTTTTTTGTATTGTTTCTAACACAAAAGTGTATGGCCCATATTTCTTCCATGACAACACGATGATTGGTGCAAGTTACCAGGATGTGATGTAGTTGTGATTATTTTTGCCATAACTGATTGCAGATTCTACAAATTTTGTATTCTAGCAGGACGGGACTCCCTCAATGGAGTATGTAAGTTCGCAGACATCTGAATGATGAATTTTCGTATTTCTGGATTGGCCATGTTAGTTCGACTGACCTACCATTTTTTCCTTGGCCGCCTAGGTCATCTGACTTAATGCCTTGTAATTTCTTTCTTTGGTGCTCCCAAATTAAGGATCTTGTTTATGTGCCCCCACTACCAAACATTTCGAAGACTTTTGAGATGAGATCAATGCTGCAAAGATAACAATTGAAGACCTTGCAGCAACAACGAGGCTTTTTGTCAAAAATGAGTTAAATACGCTGTTGCATCTGAAAGGTAGTGAGAGCTCATGTAACTGAACAAACTTGAAAAACTTAACCCAGAAAATATAGATAACATGTAACGAGATAAAATGTAAACGGAGTAAGACTGGTACTGGAAAACCTCGCAGTGGATCTAACGTTTAGGCTGTAAGTACATAGCTTTTCTTAAATACTCATCTTCTATTATTTATAGTAAGTGCTCTAAAATTTTAAAGATTCTCCATTTCTTGATAGAGACGAATCGGAACAACAAAACTTAAAGTTTGCATTTCATGGAATATATTTGAAGAAAACGACGTCTAATAAGGAAAAGAAAAAATTTGCTATATCAAAACTCAGAATATCTTACAGCAGTGAACTAAGTTTAAGTACGAAGGCTTTCACGGCCGGTGTTAACAGACCTTTAAAATCTGTTAATATGGTAGAAAACCATGATGACATTGATGCAAATGAATAACTGATTATATAAATTATTGGTTTTATAAATGTGTTTCAACATCTATAAAATACTAATAAAGTAGTTCTTTTTTGTAAATTGGTAGTAACAACGAGATAACTCCAATAACAATTATGAATAAACAAATATTTCAAAGTTTAATTTTGCTAAAAATGATTTTAATCGGTGTTAAACTTTGATTATAGTAGTATAGAGTGTGATAATAGAAAGAAAACTAATTGCAAAAGACTTATTCCGTATTGTTACGGAAATGTTTTTTGTGTCTATACTATACAAAATGTATAGCACGAATTGAACTATCGGCTAGATATATGTCGTGTAACCCAGGGAGTCCACATAGAACATTTATGAATGTGCAAAAAGAACTTGGATTGTTTCCGGTTGTTTTGATGTTTCATTCATGTTAGTAGGTGTAATAGCTTAGAAAATATAGTGTTTTAAAAACCAATGAATTTTGTATAGTAACCCTGTACTTTGAAATCTAATACATCTGGAACGATATTTATTTGTAACAAACTGAAATCAAAAATTATAGTGTATAACACTTTTTGGAAAATTTCTCAATTTCCAACAAAAATTCAATTAATCTAGAAATATGAACACAACGAATTAAATTAAAATTGTTGGTGCCTGTTTCGAATATTACACAGTCATTATCAGAAATATAATACAAAAATTAAGATCAATCCAAAAAAACTGTGAGCAAATTAGTAGTAATTATTCAGCATGGAAGTTAAAATGTTAATAGGTCATAATTAAATTACCAAAAAAATAAACAATATTTGATGTTAAGACAACAAAAACTTGGTAAAGATTAGTATTTATTATTATAATTAAAATGTATTTATGATATCTTCGTCTTTTTTAACCTTTTTTCCTATTTATTTGCAGGCTACAGAAAGATGGTGATAATCTCGATACTATCTTAAATAAAACGTAAGCAATATCTTTGACTTCTTCCTTTTAATTAATTTCCTGTTCATTTATTGGTATTCTAACCGAGTTGTTGAATAATAACTCGGTTAGTATAAAGACAGTGTCGAATGCTTGTGGTGTCTATCTTTGAATTGTGTAGTGTTGTGATATTAAATTTCAAACGCCTTTTCAATGGCAGGGAATATGACTCCAGTATTTCTTCCTACTTTCATTTCCACCACTATATTGTCAACTATCCTTATGATTTGTTGCATAGTTGAGTGTTCGTGTCTTTCCATAAGTATTTTTTTTATTCTTTCATACAAAGGATTATGTATTAATTTAGTTATAGCTGTAGCAAGTTTTCAATTTGTCATAACGATTGATCTTCTTGTTAAATCTTCAACTCTTCAAGCATTCCTAATAATGTTCGTCCAGTTTCTTTCCAATCATGTTGGCATTTCAAAATGCCAAGTTTACTTATTTTTGAGAATCTGCGGACTTATTCCTTTGTAGATATTATAAATTAAAATGAATACGACAACATTTTTGTTAACTTTTCTGTGAGTTAATGTAGGTTGTCAATGTTCTTGTCTTTATTGTTCTTGTTTGTCTTTTTATATTATTTCTTTTTCTTCATAGTTCTTACTTGCTTCTATTATTTTTTCGTTTACTTTTCTTTTTTGGTCTTCCTCTCTTTTCTGCGAGTAGTTGTTTTTTTTGGGGTATAGGTGCTTGCTGCTTTTGTTAGGCTTTGATTGTTTTTCGCACCTTATTGACTTTTTTTGTTGCTACATTGGTTTGATTGTTAGGTAACCTAGTCCTCTTCAAGTTATTGCATTGTTATT